TATATATATATAGTCATTTTTCTTATGAACAAAAGGTTATACAAATAAAATGTTTGTGAGAAGAGCTCAAAATAGTGACAAAAATGATATCCACAAACCTGGCCAAGTCCCAAGGAAATTTTTAATTACTTGCAGTTGTATTAGTCATGAATAGAAAGTTAATTTCCCTTTCCTAAATGTCTATCATCATTGTTCTTACTCTTTTAAAGACAACATATAAGTTGAAATGAAATGGGTTTCATAAACAATAAACTTGACTTAAGAAAAAACTTAATGGTAAGTAAATAAAATAGCTCTGTAGGAGGAAATATTGACTTCTTGCTTAATTATACATCTTCATATTAAATGTATCTGTATTATATCTTTCAAGTTAACTTACATAACACATAACAATGCTATGAAAAACTGGGCAAATGTTACTTAAAACGATGGTATTTAGTTATATTTTTATTAAAATATAATTCATTTAAATAGAAATCTGGGTTACTTTTTTGTCTTCTCTCAATAATGATTCTTTAAACATCATATACAAGATTTTGGGTAAACATATGTTTTCAATTTTCTTGGGTGTACGTATATACTTAAGAATGGAATTCTTGGGTCATATGGTAACTCTCTGTGTTAACCATCTTGAGGAATTGAAACTCTTTCTCCATTAACATTGCATGAGGCTCCAATTTCTTTACATACTTACCTACACCTACTATTTTTCTTTTTTTAAAGTCTAGCCATCCTAAAGAGTGTCAAGTATTATCTCATCTTGGTTTGATTTGCATTTCCCTGACTAATGATGTTACACATCTTTCATTTGCTTACTAACCATTTATATATTTTCTTTGTAAAAATGTCTATTTAAATCTGTAGCCCATTTTTTAAAAAAAGCATTCTTTTTATTATTGTATTCCCAGAGTTCCTTTTATATTTTAGATACTAAACCTTTATCAGATATATGATTTGCAAATATTTTATCCAATTCTATAGGTTTTCCTTTCATTTTTCTGGTAGTGTACACTGATGAATAAAACCTTATATTTTGAAGTCCAATTTATAAGTCCAATTTATCTACTTTTTCTTTGGTAGCTTGTGATTTTGGTGCCATTTATCTAAGAAACTATTATCCAATTCAAGGTTACACAGGTTCATACCTATGTTTTCTTCTAAGAGTTTTATAGTTTTAGATTTTATAGCTAGGTTTTTTATCTACTTTGTTTTTTGTATATAGTATGAGGTAGGGGTCCAGATTCATTTATTTCAATGGAGGTATCAGTTGTGCCCATCACTAGTTGAAGACTATTCTTTCTTTACATCTGGTATCTCTGTCAGATATCAACTGGGGTTATTTCTAGACTCAATTCCACTCCATTAATCTACATGTCCTATCTTATGCCAGTACCAAACTGTCTGATTATCATAGCTTTATAATGAGTTTTAGGATTGGAAATGCAAATCCTCCAACTTTGGTCTTATTTTTCAAGATTATTTTGGCTATTCTGGGTCCCTTGCATTTTCATATGAATTTTAAAACCAACTTCTCAATTTATACAAAAAATATAAAGCAGTTAGAATTTTGATAGGGGACTGCATTGAATTTGTATATCAAAATTTGGGGAATATTTTTATCTTATTAATATCACATGCAAGTAAATTTTTGAAAAGTAAAATTTTATTGAACATAAATTCAATACAGCTGCATTAATAGAGAACTGCCAGAAATTCAAGATGGATTCGGAAGAGGATGAGGAACAAGGGATATTATTGCTAATGTCAGATGAATCTTGGTTGAAAGCAGAGACTACCAGAAAGCTGTTTACCTGTGTTTTATTGACTATGCAAAGGCATTTGACTATATGGATCATAGCAAATTATGGATAACACTATGAAGAATAGAAATTCCAAAACACTTAACTGTGTTTCAGTGGAACTTGTACACAGACCAAGAGGCAGTCATTCAAACAGAACAAGGGGACACTGCAGGATTTAAAATGAGGAAAGGTATGCATCAGGGTTGGATCCTCTCACCATATTTATTCAACCTGATGCTGAGCAAATAATCTGAGAAGCTGGGCTATATGAAGAACATAGCATCAGGATTGGAGGAAGACTCATTAACAGCTTGCAACATGTAGATTACACAACCTTGCTTGCTGAAAGCAAAGAGGACTTGAAGCTCTTACTGATGAAGATCAAAGACTATATATTATTACACGTAAACAAACAACAATAAAAAAAAAATCCTCACAACTGGACCAATAAGCAACATTATGATAAATAGAGAAAAGACTAAGTTGTCAAGGATTTCATTTTACTTGGATCCAGAATCAACACTCATGGAAGCAGAAGTCAAGAAATCAAATGATGCACTGCATTGGGCAATCCTGCTGCAAGAGACTTCTTTAAAGTAGTAAGAAGCAAAGATATCACCTTGCAGACTAAGGTGTAATGACACAAGCCACAATATTCTCAATCATCTTATATGCATGCTAAAGCTGGACAATTAATAAGAAGACTGAAGAAGATGCAACTGAATTACAGTGCTGGCAAAGAATATTAAATATACCAATAATGAATATTTTGGACTGCCAGAAGAACAAACAAATCTGCCTCTGAAGAAGTAGAGCTAGAATGCTCCTTAGAAGCAAGGACAGTAAGACTTTGTTTCACACATACTTTGTACGTGTTATTAGGAGAGACAGTTCCTGGAGGTGGTCATTACACTTGGTAACGTAGAGGGTCAGCGAAAGAGAGGGAAGACGCTCAATGAGATTGCCTGCTGTAACCATGGCCTCAAACATAGCAATGATTGTGAGGATGGTACAGGACCAGTAGTGTTTTGTTTCGTTGTACGCAGGGCCAGTATGAGTTGTAACTGACTCAACAGCACCTAACAACAAAAACATATTAAGTCTCATAACCCACACCTGTGGGTTCTAGCCAAACAAAACACAGGCATATGAGCTGAACATTTACCTCAGGTAGATACACTCCTTGGAGAGAACAATCATGGGAAAAAGAAGGGCAGCGTATGCACAGGAAGACAGCTCAGGGGGCAGGAGTGCATGGAGGGATGGACACTGGGAGGAGGTAACTATGGGGAGGAAGTGGGAGGGGAGCTGTTGTAATGTGGTAAACTGTGGTCAATGTCATGAGACAAAGTGTATGTGAACTGCTATATGGAAAGTGAATTTGCTCTGTGAATCTTCACCCAAATCACAATTAAAAAAAAAATAATAATAATATTAAGTCTTATAACCCATGGACATGGAACGTTGTTGTTCTGTGTCGTCGAGTTGGACTTGACTCATAGCGACCCCTCCTTGGGTTTCCGAGGCAGTATCACTGCTTTTAAACTCCTGATTTTTAAATCATCCACTTGGGTTATCTCTGTTGGAGCAGCACAAGTGGGATATATCTTGAGTCTCATATTGCTGGAGGGTATAACTCAAATTACCACCCTTAGCTTCTGTGAGGGTATATATAGGAATCTTCTGGAAAGGTTCACCCTCCTTTTGCTCTGGTTCTGCATTTTGGCTCACTGTCATCTCACCCCTGGATTTGGGACAGCAGCCGTCATCTGATCTGGTGACTGAGGTTCATCAAACCCCAAGAATCGGGAGGATCCTCCAGAGCTGCTTACAGACCTGGGGCTTGCCAGCTTGTCAGCCTCCCAGCCTTCACCACCACTATGTGAGATGATCCCTTGGGTGTCTGCAAATTCTGTGCGGTGTTAATGTAGAACCCTAAGATGGGGGAGATTACTGAAAAGAGGAGGAGGAGTTAATGTCTGAAATGATGGAGTGGCACGGTAGTTTGGACATTTGGGGCATCTGTAACCTCTGTCTCATGGGGACCAGCCTTGTGCTTATCTATCTAAGAGAAATTGTTCAAGCAATATCTTACTGGTTTTGTTTCTCTAGAGAACTTTTACTAAGACACGAAGCCTATATTTTATATCTTCATTCTTCTACTCCATCTACTTTTGAAATGCTTATAATTCCCAAGTTGTCACTGGTCCATACTCTAAACCTCTTCAATAGATATAGGAATACAATATTTTCCCACTGTGTTGCAAAAGCGAAGTTAGAGCACAGAACCAGAACACTACTTTAACTGGTTTTATTTTGTCTTATACATGGAGAATGGTTACCAGGCAACTAGAAGTATAAAGGCTCTATCATTAGCAAAGTTAAAAACCCTCAAGCTGTGGTACAAACTTACGTATTTCTTCCACAACTTGTGGGTCACATTCTTTGTATTTTTCTACTTCTGCCTTTAGCTGTTCCCGTTCATCTCGAAGTGAAGAAAGCTCCTTTGTTAGCATGGTTCGTTCTTCCTGCATTCAAAATATTTTTAAGTATAATTAAGACAAATAAAATGTCTTATTTTATATAGTAATATGTTTTATAAATGTAATATTTTAATTTTATATCTCATAAATTACATGCATTAGGCTTCTGAAATACTATATATAATCAGTGGCTGTTGATTTTATTCTGACTCATGGCAAACCTAAGTGTGTGAGAACAGAACAGTGTTCTGCAGAGTTTTCAGTGGCTAATTTTTTGGAAGTAGATTACCAGCCTTTCTTCTGAGGCACCTTGGGGTGGATTCAAACTGACAATCTTTCAGTTGGTAGCCAAGCTCGTTAACCATGTGCACTACCCAGGGGCTCCCAATGTTATATTTATACACTCCTAAACAAAATTCTTAAGTGTCCCAAGGGAGAATTCTGCCTCCAAACCATAAATAGACATCCTGCCAGAATTCTTCATTCCCCCTTATCACCTGATCTATGCATTTCAGACATAGGACTACTGCAATTTCCAGCCTGTCACCTGATGTACGGATTTTGGACATAATAGCCTCCACAATCACGTGAGCAAATTCCTCAAAATCTCTCCCTCTTTATATATATTTTGAAAAAACCCAAACTCACTGCCGTGGAGTTGATTCAACTCATAGCAACCCCTCCTTGGGTTTCCAAGGTGGTATCTCTATGGAAGTAGATTACCCAATCTTCCTCCCAAGGAGTGGCTGGTGGGTTTGAACTGCCAACTTTGTGGTTAGCAGTCAAATGTCTTAGGCACTATGCCACATATATCATATATATATATATAT